CAGAAGAGATCACAAACTGGGTCATACCAAGTGAGAGCAGAAAGCCAAGACTTAATTTAAAAATAAAATAAATGGTATCTTCTATAGCGGCCAATGTTATACCAACACAAGGCAACAAGACAAGTAAGAAAAGCATGGACATCTTTCCAGGTGAGCTTACAGCGCATTATACCAACAGCAGTAAAGCTACACATACTGTACATGTGGCAATTTGACAGAGCAACCAAACTTCAGTATCTATTTCTTGTTGAAATCAAAAAGCCATCAAAAAGATAAAACTGTGGTGTTCATCAACTACAAGGAGGCAGGAATAAAATTGCCAAAATTGTCAAAGACACTTCTTTAGTTTTTCGAAATTGCAGGTTTTTTTCCATTTTCATTTTCAGTAATTTACATGTGATTATGCGTGTGGGAAACCACACTGTGTTTTTCAGTGAATGGGGGTGTCATTAAGAGTTAATAGCACCTCTGCACGTTTTCTTTCAAGCAGCGGGTTTTGTATGAAGCTGCATGCTTGTGGGCAGGGTCCTACTTTTACCCGTGCACGTGGGGTACCTTTGCTTGTAGGCAAGCTCATCAATGCCCAGAACCAGGCAGGACCGCATTCATGTACAAGCGACATTATAGCAGCACCTTGACTTAGAGATAAGCCATCTACTGTTTGCAGCTGTATGACCTACAGAGTCCCTCAGTGAATGTACTGTCCAGGGGCGGACTGACCATTTGGAAACCCCATGAGTTGTCAGTCCGCCCCTGGTACTGTCCCATGTCACTGCACACCTTGCTGATAGATGTTTGCAATTAGGAGGGACACCGCTGAGCGCCCTGCTCTCTCCACCAGTCCAGTGTACCTCTGCCACCTAACTTCCAGAGACAGAATAGGTCCCACTGAGCGCCCTGTTCTCTCCACCAGTCCAGTGTACCTCTGCCACCTCACTTCCAGAGACAGAATAGATCCCACTGAGCACCCTGCCCTCTCCACCAGTCCAGTGTACCTCTGCCACCTAACTTCCAGAGACAGAATAGGTCCCACTGAGCGCCCTGCTCTCTCCACCAGTCCAGTGTACCTCTGCCACCTAACTTCCAGAGACAGAATAGGTCCCACTGAGCACCCTGCCCTCTCCACCAGTCCAGTGTACATCTGCCACCTCACTTCCAGAGACAGAATAGATCCCACTGAGCACCCTGCTCTCTCCACCAGTCCAGTGTACCTCTGCCACCTAACTTCCAGAGACAGAATAGGTCCCACTGAGCACATGCGTGGACCTCATGTGTGCTCTAAGTTAACATTACACTCTCCTGCATCATGCGGCAAGGCCATGGGTCTCCGTAATGTGGGTTTGGTCCCAAACTCCAGGGAACTGACCGCTGGGAAGGGAGTCAGCACAACAATGACCATGCTTCTCACTGGCTGCTGTGTATTTCACACTAGTTATTATTATTATACAGGAATTATATAGCACCAACAGTTTGCACAGCGCTTTACAATGTGAGGGCACACAGTACAGTTACAATACAGAATGAGAGGGCCCTTCTTAGTAGAGTTTACAATCTAAGAGAGGGTCAGGTGATACATAGTTACATAGTTAGTCTGGATGAAAATAGGCAAAAGTCCATCCAATTCAACCATAGAAAAAAAAAAATATAATCCTACACCCACAGTTGATCCAGAGGAAGGCAAAAAAAACTCAGCAAAGCACGATCCAAATTTCAAAATACTTTATTAAAGCTGTTCATTTATTGGCCAGTTCTGACTTCATAACCAACTGAATTGTGGTAGTTGAGTTGCATGCATGCTTGGTTTATTGCTTGATCTATTTCCTGCAATGACCTGCTATCGTATTTGCCATTCCCAGTGGATGAAAAGTGGTTGACATTTCCATCTGTATGGCCAGCTTAAGTCAACAATTTAGCAGGTAAGCCTTTTTTCCAAATAACTCATACATTTGCTGATCATCACTAAAGATAAGGGAAACTGAAAGTTTTCACCTAAATGAATAGGGAAGGCACAATAAAAGTGTATGCATAACTAAACTGTTTATGTTTTGTTTTGGATAGAGATTGCGTTGTCATGTGTTCCCAGGAAGATGATTCACCCTTGCTCTCTGTCCTGGTGACCATTTTGGTCAATCCAGAAAGTGATCAGAAATTCAAAATCTTAGCATTGTCACCAGAAGGAGGTGTGGGTAAATCTTTCAGTGGGGACTCTTGTTCTGTGACAAGTGTCTAAGAGGAAATTTTCTTTCAAGTTCTACAGATTTACTCTAATTTTCTGTTTCGTCCTCAGGACAGAAAGTAAAAATAAATCTCTCCAAGGAAATACAGACAGCAACAAATAAATCAAAAGGTTTATTACCCTTCCCTACTATTACCAGAGGACTTTTAAAAGAAGAGATTTTATGCTTACCTGTCCCATCCCGTTTCTCTAATCGCTTGTAGAGAAATGGCCTCTTCACAACTGACACATTACTGAAAATGTTTAATGCCTGGGTCTGGCTGCTATGTGATGTGGTTCCTACTGCAAGCCCCTACATTACTTCAAGACACAATAGTCATATAGGGGTCAGCGGAAGTGACCACAATGGAGGAAACCAGAACAGTCTCAGAAATTATGCATCTGTCTCTCTTAGAAGTTTCAGATGTGAAGACTCATCAGAAGGTTGTAGCTCTTGAACGGAGCAAGGGTTGGAGGAATAAGCAGTGGGGCAGGTGATTATAAAGCCCCTTCTTTTGCGAGTCCTGCTTATTGAAAACTTTTCTTACCCATTGACAGAGTCACTTTGATATAAAGATTTATCTTCAGGCAATAGTATCACAAGAGAGCTCAACTCCAGGAAATCTGGAAATTCATGACACCATACATGTGGTAGCATGCTGCCATGTTGGCACCAGGAAAATAGAAAATTGACAGCATCAAATGTATGCTGTCATGTTGGTGCCAGGAAATTTACTTTACCAAGTCACCTAAATGGCAGTTAACCCTGGCAGTGCTAGCACAGCCCCACTGCAAGGGAGAAGAGTTGGGCTTCATGAAGTTTCCATGCTAATCTCAACTGTTATACCACTGCCGGCACATTGATCTTTATGTTGCAGTTGTAGCACCCCTACCTTGGGCTGGCTAAATTTAGTATATGACTCTACTGTAGCCAGCTGAGCTGCAATTTAGTTTTTAGGTCTGTTCAGGTTTTTCCCTAAAACTGGTGGCTGATTGCTTTCGTCTGCCTCTGTAGGAATATTCCATAAATAGTGTGGGAAGAGCAACTGCTAGGTTATGAATATTTACTGAACTGTAGCCAATCGCTGGGAGGATAACCCAGAAGGTGTGGCTGTGGAGAAGCTAAATGTTTGGTAGGATCTGATCAGAGCTCTCTCTTTCCCTGGGCCCTCTCCCCCAGAGAAACTACCATTACTAGGCCCCAGCAGGTTCTATGTGCTGAGGACCTGAAGGAAACTTCCTGTAGGAAGCTGAGCTGGGGAAGGGAAACCTTCACTGAAAAGTAAGGGAGCTGGTTGGGAGTTGCTCCTGGGCAGCGTGGGACTTTTTGCTTGGAGTGGAACCTCTCTCTCATAGCTCCAGGCATTGAGGTACTTCTTGAGGGTGAGACACCAGAGGTTGCTGTTTAAGGACTTCGGTTGCCCACATAGGGTCTCAGATTTACTGGCTGTCTCCTCTCCTTTTCAGCATTATTTTTGTGGCTGCTAATATAAAGCCTAATACTGCTGAGACAGGATATTTCAAGAAGCTGTCCTCCAAGAGTTTCAGTGGTTGCTTTTGAGTATCCTGCACCTTAAACACTCCTGCCTGCATTATGTTCAAGCAATAAATTCTTAAGAGATCTAGACTGGAACCTGAATTGGTCGGTGTGTTTATGGGACTGAAAACAGGGCTGGCAGCCTTTGAACAGGTAAGGAGGACCCAATATATTTCCGGGAACCCTTCAGGGGATAGCGCTATGCAATTATGGTAATGTCCATGGGAGCCAGTGTTGTATTATAGTAAAGGAGGCTTTGTGATGTAGAAATATGAGGGCATTCAAGTCAAACTTTTGAGTTTATATAATAAAAGAACAAAATTTCAAGGAGTGGAAACTGCATTTATTTTTCGACATACTCCCCTGCTACAATTATACACTTTTCCCAGCATTTAACTACTGCCTGGAAAGCTTCAGCACAGAAAGATTTGTCAGTACATCTAAACCATCCTAAGACAGCCTGCTTCACTTCATAATCAGTTCTGAAATGCTGACCTACAGGAAACTGTTTTATAGGTCCACACAGGTGGAAATCACTCGGAGTGAGGTCCCGACTGTAAGGGGGATATGGCAATACCTCCTACCCGTGTTGCTGTAATATGCACGTAGTGCGGTGAACACTATGAGCTTCTACGTTGCCCTGGAGAAACAGGACTGCCTTAATAATCAAACCAGGCTGATTTTTCCACAGACTCATATGCACATCACTCAGAATCCAAGATCAGGCGTTCCACGTGCTGAATGTTCACAGGAATGACTATTGTGGGCTGGGAACCACTACGGTCGGGATCGTCACTGATGGACGTACGGCCATCTTTGAAACATTTACACCATTCAAATATCGACTGAGCGTCTCATCACCGTACTGTGCTTGAAGTCTTTTCTAGTTTTACGCCTTCGTTCACAAGAAACTTCATCACCACATGCAGTTCCATACACATACTAACACTGTTGTCTGCCATGCTGATTAATGGTCTCTAGACTGGTCTACGACAGTAATAGGAAACACTTGCCACTTACTACTGCATGTAGTACCGCCACGCTAGTATCCCTTTTTATACCTGCAAAATTAAAAGTACCAGTTTGACTTGAACGCTCTCGTATAAGTTGTTCTGAAGCAAGTCAGTGGTAGTATTGGGTTGGTAGTTATTGCCTGAGTTACTGTGTATTACATGTACTGAATAGTACTGAATAGTTTGGCTTTTCCCACCTCAGAACATTGGTGTAGAAAAAATATTATGTTGTATACAGGGGCGGACTGACAACTCATGGGACCCCCGGGCAACAGGGGATCACGGGGCCCCTGTGCCCTTGCCCACACTCAAACCACACCCAAAAAAGTCTATGAAAGGTGCCAGGGACATCTCATGGGGCCCTATACTGACCCCGGGCCCTTGGGCAGTGCCCGAGTTCCCCAATGGTCAGTCCGCCCCTGGTTGTGAAGCTTATTTCGGACAGGGGCAGATCCTTTTTAAAATCATAAACCGGTCAATAAATATGTTTTTGATGAACAGGAAGACACTGCATAAGTATCAGATCAGCACTCAGCACTTTCTTCATACCTTCCTGGTGCTCTTGTTCATATCCGCTGCCAACTCCTCACAGCAGTAAAAATAAGAGTGTAAATCACGCAATGTCAAGTACAGGCATCAACTTTACACTCTTACCAGTTATTAATGAACATAATTATCCTTGTGAAATTATTAATGGGAGAAAATACATACCCAGATATTAGAAAATAAACTTGTAGGTGGTCCTTTAAATGTAATTTTAATCTGTGCAGCAAACCATAAAATCAGCATCTGTTCAGCTAAATGCAGGTGTTTCATATCAATGTCATTAATTGGAAGGGACATTATGTCATCATACATCAACAGTTAAAGTTGGTTAAAGTGCCACTTGTCTCAGGTGTGATCATTAATCAGCCTCGTTTTATCTTATTACTGATAGATTCTCAACCAGGGCTCCATTCAACAAGCTTTTATGTTGCTTGTTAAGGGAGGTTTTCAGTCACTGTCAGACTAATTGAATGAACAATGGACTTGGATAATGGTAAGCTTGATCACTGTGATGTCATAGGTCTCTGTAAACAAAGTAATGTTGGCTTTGTCCTGGCATACTAGAACGCATTGTGCTGCGGCAAGTTTAAACGGTATGATTTTTATAAGCTGTTGTTAAGTACGTTTATAACATTGTTAAGGAAGTTTACGTGGAACTGTACTTTGCCAATGCATGCCACGCAGCTGGCTAATTTAATGGATGGCCCTCCACCTACTGCTTATATTTACCTCCTGTTCTTTCCTCCAGTTTGCCCACCAGAGCAAAGCTAAAATGTCCCATGTAAGCTCCAAGTTGGATCAGTCAAAGCTTTCACAGAGTTGAGGACTCTCCCCAGGCTTCCACCCGCTGGTCCTTGGACATGGTAATTGGCCACCTAAAACGTAACCCCCCTTTTATTGAGAAAAAAAATCTGTGTACATGTAAGCCATATACGGGGGTGGGCTCCCCAGGATACAGTGAAGTCACGAACGAGGAAAGCAACCCCAACACCAGCTTTTGCCACAACAGAATTTTACTTAGATGTGGCAAATAAACACAACCACAAATGCTGGAAACATACAATAAATTTACATACACCCAGCCCAAAGGCTGAGACCCTTGTGCTGCACAGCACGGCACCTTCTGATGGATGAAGGTAGAAAGTGAAGTAATTTACCTACTGGCGGGCACAACTAAGCTGCCACACCTTACCTGTTCTTACCCTAAAAGAGCAGGAATCAGTGTATGGGTGTACGGTATGGGTTAGCCTGCGGTGCAGCACAACAGCTTACAATCTTACACAAATCTACAGTATTCCCCCTCCCATAACTGGTCCTGTAGCACGTGGCTGAGTATTCCTTCTGAGCAAAACACCAGTCTGACTTGAGTTTGTGGGATTTTATCAGCTCTCCAATGTGAAATGTCACTTTCAGTTGTGGAGTCCTTCCAATAATCAGTAACAACACTTGTGGCCTGACACAAACAGAGACCCTAACTAACTAACTATAAGCCTGGACTCAGTCTCAAGGCACCAACACTGAAATGAGGTGCGTGCACGATCTTACCGACCCAGGTCTGCTTTTCATCCGCTGGTGACTCTGAACAGAACAAATGTCTCTCCAACAAGCATGCGGTCTCGCGTATATGTTGCTTAGTTCCTCTGCTTTCATCAGTATTCCTGGCAGCAATCTCATCAGAATTCCTGGCAGCAATCTCATCAGCTTCCTGGCAGCAATCTCATCAGCTTCACTTAGCTGCAGCTCTGCTTACGGAGGGACGCTTTCACACCTGGATGTCATCAGATTCTCAGCTCACAGGGCCCCTTATTCACCATGCTCCAAAACATGGCTTCTCCCTCTCCTTCCTGTTCTCTCCAACTCTGTGTGCAAAAACCCCACTTCTTCATGAATATACAAATATATTTGCAGTCAGAGGCTGTGTTAGAAAAACAGTGACATCTTGTGGCTAAACCACAGAATGTCAGTCAAAACATTAATTTACTTCCACATAAACAGTGTTCAAACAATGAGAGCAGTTTCCCCATCTCACATAGATTGCAAGTATTTGAACAAACTTTGTTGAAGATTCCCGCCTTTGTTTTTCTGAAGAAATAGCTGTTTGTTGTGTTTAAGTGCAGAATGAATCTGTATGGAAGTGGTTTTATCATTTTTATTCAACTATTGCACCTGCAGGGATCTAATAAGGAAAGTGACAGGGTCTGTATCTCTTAACCCCTGGTTCATATATCCACGTACCTGCGGTCCGCGTTTTTGTGTGGGCACGAGAGCCCATTCATTTTAATGGACTCCCGTGCCCCAGGACATGCAGGGAAGAAGCCCCTGTACTTCTTCTGAAAACGCAGTCCACACGGGAACCTCGGTTCCCAGTACAGTTGCGATTTCCAGTGCGGGTCCGCATTTCTCTGTGAGGATGGTGTGGCTGCACAGATTTTTGTGCGGATCCGCGGCGGCACCACCCGCACATATGTGAACCTAGCCTTAGACATGATTGCCCTTTGGGAGTATCTCACTAAAGATGACATTTTTCTTGCAGGGGATGCCAAATATGTGACCTATATCTTCGTGCAGACTTTGGGGAAAATCATTGAGCTGATCACTCACGCAGGAAATTACATTTTCAGTGGGCATCCAGGTTGCTATATTGCATTGCATTTTACAGAAAATCACAGCACTGCAGGTTGGAAAGGAAACGTAATTTTTAAAAACATTAATTTACAATATGACTTGAGTCCCAATTGTGTATGCTATATTATTAATTTTTTTATTTGCTAATTTTTTTTTCCCTGCGAAGGTGGAGTTATCCTTTAAATGAAAGGTAACAGGGTGCTACTAAGTGACTGATATGTGGAAAAAATGAATGACATAGAATAGATACAAATATAACACTCAACTCGGTGTAAACATAATATACATTTGTAAGGTGGTGCAAAAAATACCAAACAACAGTGCCAGCCGCAGGAAATCGGTTATGAAATGCTAGCAACACTTGGTGTAGGAAGGTAACGCAGGAGGATCATCTCTATACTATTCTGGAGTTATCCTTTAAGCACCCCGTTGCTGCATTATTTCCCCCAGACATACTAAGAAATACTGGCTATTTGGTTACATTCCAGTAGTCAAGCTGGGCAGTGGGAAATAAATAATAAGTAACAGAAGCTCAGGGAGTGGAGAGTGGGCATCAGGGAGTTCCTACTTTGTAAATGTTGTACCTTGCTGTTCATGGGCTTAGCACCCTCTAAGGGTGCTAGAGAGTTAATCTAAACTGGAAATTAACCCCCCTGGCGGTATTCCCGAGTGTAGCTCGGGGTAAAATGTCAGTGCCAAAAGCGGTAACCGCGAGCTACACTCGGGCTTACCATGCGGCGCTGCATAGGGAGTCCCTGCAGCACTTACCTTGTCCTTCGCTCCCACAATGTGTCCCCTGCAGCATCCCCGGCCATCTCCTCTGGCCGATGCTGGCATCCGGCTTCTGTGTTCCGGTCCCTGTGACGGCGGGAAATTTGAAAATTTAAAAAAAATGTCATTTTTTTCAAAACACATTTTTCATAGTAAAACATTGCTGTTTCAACCCATTTCAAATACATTTTGTCCCGAGTGCTTTGTCCTGTGCCCTGCCTGCATTTTGTCTGTTCTTTCTGCCTGGAAACTGAGAAATGTCCATGGCGTCCAAAAAGCGTCCCTTTAGGTCAAAAGCGGGTTTAGATCAGCTAGAGAACAGCGATAGTAAATTAGAACCACTTGCAGAATTGAGTGATAATGATTCGTGGGGAAATTCGTCATCAGACACTGAAAACGATTTTGCGACTTTGCTCAGCAATGTGCGAACTTGGCGCTATATTTCACATTTCAGTGTTTTCGGTTTGATTATATTATTGAATTAAATGTATTATTATTATATTATTATTTTTTATGATTATTTATTAAATTATAATTTATGATTTCGTGTTTCAAATTTTATCATACCCGGGATGTTTACTAGACTCTTGTTCGGACAGATTTCAGTGAGTTATTCCTAAAAATTACAGGCCTACAATAAAAAAACTACTTATTTCCATGCAAAATAATGGTACCGCTTTCAGCACCAAAAATCTGAAATAATCATACCGCCAGGGAGGTTAAACACATCCAAAGCAGAAAATATGTCACCAGCACACCAAGGATCTCCAGAGCAGGTCCAAAGCTTTATTCAGTGATCACATCATAATAACAAAAGCTACATTTCAGAGCCTCACAGGATCCCTTCATCAGGCATGTGACGTCACGTACCTGATGAAGGGGACCTGCAAGGCTCCCGAAACGTCACTTCTGTTATTATGATGTGATCAATGAATGAAGCTTTGGACCTGCTCTGGAGATCCTTGGTGTGCTGGTGACAGGAGCTGGTGATAAGGAGCATGCAACAGAGGGATTCAGGTCCAAACGAGGGACAGTTAGGAGCTATGAATGGATTAAGTAATGATAAATTATAGTGAAGGCGCTTCATATTCTTCTATTTTACTATATAAAATAAGGGCTTTTTTCAGCAGGAACTTGGGGAAATGCAGTTCCGGTACCTGCAGCATTGAATGTACAGTTGTGTTCAAAATAATAGCAGTCAGACATCACTAACCTGATCAATCACTGTTTTTGGTAGAAATGATATTTCTACATGGCAAATAATTTACTAGCAGGTGTAGTAGAGTAATAGAAATCCAACAGACCCAACAGTCATGACATGCATGCTGCTGATTCTGTGTAATTGAATCACTAATTGAAAGGGGCATGTTCAAAATAATAGCAGTGTGGAGTTCTATTAGTGAGGTCATTCATTCTTTTAAAAACAGGTGGCAATTATTGCCCTTATTTAAGGAAGGAAGGCAGCAAATGTTGTACATGCTGGTTACAGTGCATCTCTCTCTGAAATTCTGAGGAAAATGGGTTGTTCCAGACATTGTTCAGAAGAACAGCATACCTTGATTAAAACGTTGATTGGAGAGGGGAAAACATATAAAGAAGTGCAGAAAATGATAGGCTGCTCAGCTAAAATGATCGCAAATGCTTTAAAATGGCAACCAAAACCTGAAAGACGTGGAAGAAAGCAAAAAACTACCATTCGAATGGATAGAAGAATAGCCAAAATGGCGCGGACTCAGCCAACAATCAGCTCCAGGAAGATCAAAGAAGGTGTAAAGTTCCCTGTGAGTACTGTTACAATTAGAAGACGCCTATGTGAAGCCAAGATATCTGCAAGAAGCCCCTGCAAAGTCCCACTGTTGAAAAAAAGACATGTGCTGAAGAGGTTACAATATGCCAAAGAGCACATTGACTGGCCTAAAGAGAAATGGCGCAACATTTTGTGGACTGATGAAAGTAAGATTGTTCTTTTTGGGTCTAGTGGCCGGAGACAGTTTGTCAGACGACCCCCAAACACTGAATTCAAGCCACAGTACACTGTGAAGACAGGGAAGCATGGTTGCCAAGCATCATGATATGGGGGATGTTTCTCATACTACGGTGTTGGGCCTATTTATCGCATACCAGGGATCATGGATCAGTTTGAATACATCAGAATACTTGAAGAGGTCATGCTGCCTTATGCTGAAGAGGAAATGCCCTTGAAATGGGTGTTCCAACAAGACAACGACCCCAAAACACCAGTAAACGTGCAACATCTTGGTTCCAGACCAACAAGATTGACGTTATGGAGTGGCCGGCCCAATCCCCGGATCTTAATCCAATAGAAAACTTGTGGGGTGACATCAAAAATGCAGTTTCTGAGGCAAAACCAAGAAATAGAGAAGAACTGTGGAATGTAGTCCAATCATCCTGGGCTGGAATACCTGGTCACAGGTGCCAGAAGTTGGGTGACTCCATGCAACACAGATGTACAGCAGTTCTCAGAAACAGTGCGACTACAACCAAATATTCATTAAGTGATTCAAAGGAAAGCAAAATCTTCAAACATTTTTCAGTTTATATAGTAACAATTGAGTACTGTCCGTGATACTTTTTTTATTTGCACTAACATACAATTTTGAGGACAAGCTTTCGGGGAGTATCCCCTTCTTCAAGGTCCAAGCAGTACTCAGTACTGCTTGGACCTTGAAGAAGGGGACACTCCTCAAAAGCTTGTCCTCAAAATTGTATGTTAGTGCAAATAAAAAAAGTATCATGGACAGTACTCAATTGTTCCTGTTGCAAATGCACTAATACGGCTACAATCACCTCAGTTTATATAGTGAATGTTTGAGTTTGTAAAGAAGAATACAAACACTGCTATTTTTTTGAACAGTCTAATATTCACTTTTCTTCAATTTTTTTAGAGGAACAACACAAATTTGATATATTTTTCTTCATGGTTTGATTTGGAATAGAATGTGTAGTGTTCCCAATGCATTTGTGTTTATGGAAATAAAAGCTTTTAGAAGGATTTTGAGCTTTATTCACTTTTTTCAACACACTGCTATTATTTTCAACACAACTGTATATATTGTATATTCACATCAGTCCCTAACCCTCAAGGGGTGTACAATCTAAGGTCCCTAACTTACCTTCACACATACACATACTAGGGCCAATTTAGACAGGAGCCAATTAACCTACCAGCATATCTTTGGAGTGTGGGAGGAAACCAGAGTACGCGGAGGAAACCCACGCAGGCACAGGGAGAACAAGCAAACTCAAGGCAGCTAATGTCATGGTTGAGATTTGAACCAACAACCCTAGCTCTACTAGGCAGAAGTGCTAACCACTTAGCCACTATGCTGTCCTATCACGTTTCCTTGCTGTTCTGTCTTTGCATTGTTGCATTTGTGGAGTTTCTGAGTTTCCATCTATAGGATGACTCCTTTGTCTCCCTGGTGCCACCCAGTCAGCTGGGACTGATCATAAACATTCAGGCGCAGCAACAAGCCACCATTGCTCTGGTGCTGTGTTTGGCCAATACATGTGCAATGTGAGCAGTGCAGAAGGATTCCTAATGGGAAATATAGTATGAAAATTTAGATCTCAGGTGCTTCCTAACTGGAAGTTTGGGGAAAGGCTGATCGAAGGGGTACATGAAGAAAAAAGTTAGAATTTGAAACACAAGAATGTGGATAACCTTATATTGACCTTGGACAGGCTATTATAATTTGGGAGCAGAGAGAAGGAATCTGTCCCTGACTGAGCACAGTGGTGAAGCTAAAAGGTGCCCCAGTGCCAGTGGTATATGACTTAAACTGGAGCTCCACACCCAAAAGGGGAAGTTACGCTTTAACCTCCCTGGCGGTATGATTATTTCAGATTTTTGGTGCTGAAAGCGGTACCATTTTTTTGCATGGATATATGTATTTTTTTTTTATTGTAGGCCTGTAATTTTTTAGGAATAACTCACTGAAATCTGTCCGAACAAGAGTCTAGTAAACATCCCGGGTATGATAAAATTTGAAACACGAAATCATAAATTATAATTTAATAAATAATCATAAAAAATAATAAATAATAATAATAAATTTAATTCAATAATATAATCAAACCGAAAACACT